AATACCAGGTTGTACCAGGTTCATGTAACCATGGTAACCAGATAACCGTGGTTACCATGGCAACCAGGTAACCATGCTTACCTGGTACCTGGTACCACCTAGTACCAGAAAAAAATAGAAGTGTAGGTAACCATGGTTACCAGGTACCTGGTACCACCTAGTACCAGAAAAAAATAGAAGTGTATCAGCCAGGCCTGGATTTGAACTTGCGCTCTGGGGACAAGTCAGAGGACTTGTGCTCTGGGCTATGTTGCCATGGAAAATGACCTATTTGGAACTTCTACTGGTTGGTGAAACCAGTTCATACTCTTAAAAAAAAAAACAGGAAAGCCCCTGTTGGGAAAAAAAAAAAGATTGTGCAAATGCAAATATTCTTTATTCCATTGTGGTGTTAGCATTAGCACCGATTAAGCCATGACTTTGTTACAAACAAAGGCCTTCATGTAGTGATGAAATGTTTAAAACATTGAGTTTGTACTGTTACTGATGATAGTGATATGTAAACATTTAGTTGTGCAACAGACTTTGCACTGTAAGAGTGACTACTTTGTAGCTGCTTTTAAGGAAAACCTGTTTGTTTGTGCTAACATGTGGCTCAACGACGTGTTCTTCTAATCTGCAGGTTCTTCCACGCTGCATACGAAGAGGAGTGGCAGAGTCAAAGGTCCCATCAACTGTATGGCTTTCCATGAGACCGACACAGCTTTTGATCGTGTTATTCCAGCTTGTTCTTGTCATTCCATCCATTGTGCCTCCTATGCTTATCAGTCATTTACAGATGCAATGGAGGAGAAGACTTGAAGGCACAGCAGCTTGGACTCTGTCATGTAGGGCACATCGTTAAATCTGAGAAAGACATGGAGAAACACAGACTATATATATATATATGCATGTATTTGCATTTCTTGGTTAGGGTTAGTGTGTACCTAGTGATTGACACGCCATGTTTTGGGTGATTTTTAAAATATTCATATAAAATACTTTTTGGCCTTTTAAACATAAAATATTCACTTGGCAGCATGCTTTAGGACATATTCTTGCATTTTAAGGCATTTCTGGGACTTTATTTTTATGGATATTTTCACGATGGTAAGGCTATATTAAGGCATGTTTTGGGTGATTTTTCAAATATTCATATAAAATACTTTTTGGACATTAAAACACAAAATATTCACATGGCAGCATGCGTTAGGACATATTCTTGCATTTTAAGGCATTTCTGGGACTTTTTATTTTTATGGCTATTTTACGAGGGTAAGGCTATAGTAAGGCATGTTTTTGGTGATTTTTTAAATATTCATATAAAATACTTTTTGGCCTTTTAAACATAAAATATTCACTTGGCAGCATGTTTTAGGACCTAGTCTTGCATTTTAGTGCATTTCGGGGACTTTTTGTTGTCCTTTGAGGCCCTGACGAACATGGTGACGTCTGGATGTGCTCTTTAGCTTTCTTCAGGACTCCATGAGACCGACACAGCTTTTGATCGTGTTCTTCCCGCTTGTTCTTGTCATTCCATCCCTTGTGCCTCCTATGCTTATCAGTCATTTACAGATGCAGTGGAGGAGAAGACTTGAAGGCACAGCAGCTTGGCCTCTGTCATGTAGGGCACATGGTTAAATCTGAGAAAGACATGAAGAAACACAGAATATATATATATGCATGTATTTGCATTTCTGGTTTAGGTTTAGTGTGTACCTAGTGATTGACAAGCCATGTTTTGGGTGATTTTTGAAATATGGGTATAAAATACTTTTTGGCCTTTAAAACACAAAATATTCACTTGGCAGCATGTTTTAGGACCTAGTCTTGCATTTTAGTGCATTTCGGGGACTTTTTGTTGTCCTTTGAGGCCCTGATGAACCCATGAGACCGACACATCTTTTGATCGTGTTATTCCCGCTTGTTCTCGCCATTCCATCCATTGTGCCTCCTATGATTATCAGTCATTTACAGATGCAATGGATGAGAAGACTTGAAGGCACAGCAGCTTGGACTCTGTCATGTAGGGCATATCGTTAAATCTGAGAAAGACATGGAGAAACACAGACTATATATATATATATGCATGTATTTGCATTTCTTGGTTAGGGTTAGTGTGTACCTAGTGATTGACACGCCATGTTTTGGGTGATTTTTGAAATATGGGTATAAAATACTTTTTGGCCTTTTAAACATAAAATATTCACTTGGCAGCATGTTTTAGGACCTAGTCTTGCATTTTAGTGCATTTCGGGGACTTTTTGTTGTCCTTTGAGGCCCTGATGAACCCATGAGACCGACACAGCTTTTGATCGTGTTATTCCAGCTTGTTCTTGTCATTCCATCCCTTGTGCCTCCTATGCTTATCAGTTATTTACAGATGCAATGGATGAGAAGACTTGAAGGCACAGCAGCTTGGACTCTGTCATGTAGGGCATATCGTTAAATCTGAGAAAGACATGGAGAAACACAGAATATATATGCATGTATTTGCATTTCTTGGTTAGGGTTAGTGTGTACCTAGTGATTGACACGCCATGTTTTGGGTGATTTTTTAAATATTCATATAAAACACATTTTGAAGTTTTAAACTCAAAATATTCACTTGGCAGCATGATTTAGGACATAATCTTGCATTTTAAGGCATTTCTGGGACTTTTTATTTTTATGGCTATTTCACGATGGTAAGGCTATATTAAGGCATGTTTTGGGTGATTTTTGAAATATGGGTATAAAATACTTTTTGGACTTTAAAACACAAAATATTCACATGGCAGCATGCGTTAGGACATATTCTTGCATTTTAAGGCATTTCTGGGACTTTTTATTTTTATGGATATTTTCACGATGGTAAGGCTATAGTAATGGTTGTTTTGGGTGATTTTTGAAATATGGGTATAAAATACTTTTTGGACTTTTAAACACTAAATATTCACTTGGCAGCATGCTTTAGGACATAATCTTGCATTTTAAGGCATTTCTGGGACTTTTTGTTGTCCTTTGAGGCCCTGATGAACATGGTGACGTCTGGATGTGCTATTTAGCTTTCATCAGGACTTCTCTGGAATGTTGACTAATAAACAACAAAAATAAAAGTTCCTTATTATCACAAGTTCTATAAAAGATGCTGTCTGTGACTCATTATTTCCTTCAGTATTTCATTTCTATAGTAGTGTGTTCCAACTATTTCTTTAGCAGTAATCAGGAAGCCGTGTTCTATCTGCAGTATTGTTTCTTTTACGGTATTAATTTGATTACGTTGAGCGTGACGATTACCTACGATCTGTGGATCCCTCAGGTCGAACTAGTTCATGAAACACTGACGGCCCATCTGCTCGTCTGTGAAATCAAACCCACGTGTTCTGGTGGCAGACATTAAAGAAAGGACCTGCAACAAAAATTAAACACCAAAATATAAAACTTGTTCACATAACATCCTCAGACAGGTTGATGTGTGTGAAGGTAGAAATAGAAGGAGTGATAATTAATGTCAGTGGTTTTGCCCCACAGGTGGGCTGTGAGTTGGATGAAAAGGAGAAGTTTTGGTTTGTAGTAGAAAGAAGAGGAATGAAGGTCAGTCGCAGCAAGACAGAGTCCATGTGTGTAAACGAAAGGGAGAACAGTGAAATAGTGAGGTTACAAGGAGCAGAGGTGGTGAAGAAGCAGGAGTTTAGGTACTTAGGATCAACTGTTCAGAGCAGAGGAGACTGTGGAAGAGAGGTGAAGAATAGAGTACAGGCAGGATGGAACAGCTGGAGAAAAGTGTCAGCAGTGATCTGTGACAGAAGAGTGTCAGCTAAGGTGAAGGGAAAGGTTTACAGGACAGTGGTGAGACCAGCCATGATGTATGGTTTAGAGACAGTAGCAACAGGCAGAAGACAGGAGGCGGAGCTGGAGGTGGCAGAGTTGAAGATGCTAAGATTCTCTTTAGGAGTGACAGGAATGGACAGGATCAGGAATGAGGTCATTAGAGGGACAACACAGACAGGAAGGTTAGGAGAAAAAGCTAGAGAAGCCAGGTTGAGATGGCTTGGACATGTGCAGAGGAGGGACAGTGGATACATTGGTAGAAGAATGTTAGAGATGGAGATATATGGATGCAGTGAGGGAGGACATGCAGATAGTTGGAGGCAGAGTAGAAGATACAGAGAACAGGGAGAGATGGAAATCAATGATTTGCTGTGGCAACCCCTGAAAAAAAGGGACAAAGCCAAAAGACGAAGAAGAGGAGGTGAGCTAAGACACAACCTATCACCCACATACTGAAACCACTCTGATGAGGATTACGACGGCCCACCCAACAGTAGGGACCTGAAGTAGCTTTATTTTTTATTTAAAACTCTTCCCTGGGCGTTCTCCTTAATGGTAAGAGCTTCACCTTGGTGGTGTTGTCCTTTGAGGCCCTGATGAACATGGTGACGTCTGGATGTGCTCTTTAGCTTTCTTCAGGACTTCTCTGGAATGTTGACAAATAAACAACAACAAAAAGTTCCTTATTATCACAAGTTCTATAAAAAATGCTGTCTGTGACTCATTATTTCCTTCAGTATTTCATTTCTATAATATGTGTTCCAACTATTTCTTTAGCAGTAATCAGGAAGCCGTGTTCTATCTGCAGTATTGTTTCTTTTACGGTATCAATTTGATTACGTTGAGCGTGACGATTACCTACGATCTGTGGATCCCTCAGGTCGAAGAAGTTCATGAAACACTGACGGCCCATCTGCTCATCTGTGGAAATCATGATGATGTTGCCGTTGAAATCGAACCCACGTGTTCTGATGGCAGACATTAAAGAAGGGACCTGCAACAAAAATTAAACACCAAAATATAAAACACAAACAGGAAATGATCCAAAATACATTTAAACATTCATACACTAATGTCTGCTGCAATCAACAACACCACACAAGGCAACAATAAGTGTGCTGCTACCCATGTTTGTGTTTTTATTGTTGTTTTGGTGCTGTACTTTTTTTTTTAGGAGTTTTTTTCATGATAGTAAGGCTATAGTTTTGCTTGTTTTTGGTGACATTTTTACATGATTAGATATAATGTTTTCTGGAGTTTTTAGCACAAATTATTCACTTGAAAAAAAAACTTAATGAAAGCTTAAGACGTACTGGTACCAAGAGCATACTGATATGGAAGTGGGATCGCGCCCGTTAATAGACACTGTAGTTCAGCCTGAACAATACAGTCAGACCCAGTCTTTTTACAAATTCTCTGGGAGTTTACTACAACTCTCTATTTGTATAAAAAGAGAGTATTTGTATATAAGGTAAATTAACCCGTTAATTAGTTTATAAAGATCCAACAGTATATTTTACATAAAGGTAGAATATACAACAATTGGAGCTCCTCCACCACAACGACTTCTACTAATTGTAATGTTGGCTACACTTTTAACATAACTTTTACCTTTTGGTTTTTCAAACGTTTGCCTTTTCCAGACGAGCCATCCGCTGTGTGTCGAGTGTTCACAGAGCTGAGAACGTTGAACCGCAGCACTAGCCTAGCATAGCATAGCGTAGCATAGCAACGTACCGACAAAAAAAGTTTATCGAGAAAGAAACTAACGCACTAGTGTCCATAAAATGGATGAACATCTCACAAAACTGCTTCAGTGTGTAGTTACGTTCATTAAGTTCGTTTGTGGCAAGTTTTCTTTCCCCTCGTGGCGTCCACACACACTCGACGACGACGACGACCAAACGTTTGTTGAAAAAACAAGAGCACACTCTTCCGGTATAATTTAAACACTCTTGCTTCGCATGCGCAAACCAGGGAGCGGAAATGACGTAAATTTAATTATTAATGTAAAAAGAAATTGTAGATCGGTGTGTACAAATAAATAAAAATTAAAGTAAAACAGAAATAAATAGACATATAAGAAGTTTCTTAACATTTAACATTTTAGATCTTCAATCACATTCATCCACTAGGTAGTAGGTTTCAAGTGCAAATTCTATATATTGATTTTTTTAATTTGCATGAAATTAACTTAATGACATAAACAACACAAACTAAACTAGTATTTGGATTTATGCTAAATTAGAATGGTAACAACTTTAAGGTTCGGACCGTGTCCTGCAAAAGCAAGACGTTGAAAAGGTTGCAGTTTGAAAAAGAAAGGGCACAGCATTAGTATGTTTTTGTCTGGTGTCAGAGTCAGTAATTACAGGCCAAAAGAAATTCAGACACTAAGACCACAGGGAGAAAAACTTCAACTGTTTATTAATAAAGCAAGGTTAAAACAGCAACTCAGAAACCATTGTAGCATGCTGTGAAAACAGGCCGTGTTTAGATCGGCGGTGAGGGACAGGACACCGTGCAGCTGGTCCGAACGTAGAGGAAACAGAAACAGAAGAACTGTGAAGAAGGTTAGACAAAAACAAGTGACCCCGAACGAAAAGAAACAGGTAATATAGATCAGATTCTGGGGTCAAAGGGACACCAGGACGAAGTCAACGATCCGGTGTGGTGATCGGACAATCATCGACTGTAGTGGATGGACTCATTATTTAGCTCATAGTTGCAGGCTCCAGTGAAAATGACAGTGGTTGGTTAGTGGTTTGTGCATGAGGTCATGTGATTTACACGACAGGAGCTTCTTCTGAATGCCAGTGCTGTAATGGACATTAGATGTGCACATGTATGAGTTGGTGTGGACAGTCAGTTAAGTAATGTCTTATACATTCAGTTATATCAAATCTTTCAGGTGAAGATGTGGATTAGAAATTTTATTATGGGTTAAACAGTAAATGCATACAAATTCAAAAATACCTCCAAATGCAATACAAGACCACAAAATATGCTGCCAAGTAAACATATAATTGTTAAAAATAAAAAAATGCACTGTAGTATGACATTTGTCAAAAAACAACATTGTCTCTAAAAGCAATAAATTACCCCAAAACATGCTCCCAAGTAAATATAAAAAAAATCTAAATCAAAATAAATTATATTTTGACATGTGAGAGATCACCCCAACAAGTCTTAGAACAGTATATTTGTGAAAAAAATAAAAAAACCTTAAAAATGCCTCAGAATGAAATAAATTATCACAATACATCCTCCCAAGTAATTAATTTTGTTAAAAATCAAAATCAAAAAATCTTATTTTGCCATGTGAGAAGTTCACCCAAGACACCTGCATGTTTTAGGGCATAAACTTGCACTGTCACCAGGTAGATTTTAGATGCCGTGCAGGACGCTTGTGATTGGATATCGAGGCGCAGCCGTGCGCTTTCACAGCGGAAGTACGTTGTAGTACTTCCTTGGCGGGT